AATTCAAATAGGGAATAGACTTCAATGTTCAATAAACACATTAACACATACATATATTTTTTAAATAATAAAGATGCAAAAACAATAATAGAAATAGCAAAATACAAAGAAAACTGTTTCAAAACAAGAGAGGTAAAATTGAAAACAATATAGTCAGCTAACTCAAGATAAGGTCATGTACATGCATTAGTAATCCAAACATTTACCAACACAAATATGGCAAATATTCCAAATTACTTTACCTTTCATTTTTTTTCTACTTTTATTTGCTTGTTTGATTGTGTATATTTTTATTCTCATTTTAATTGTTTGTTTTTATCCACATCTGTATTGCATTTTAGTCAAAATCCCAATAGGGATACGCAATTATTATTATACAGCGTTGCATAGACCAAGCTTATTTCGTATTTTTCATGATCGGCATGAGGCCGATTGGGTGGACGAACGTGAAGCTTTGGACAGCTTATCCATGATATGAAACTGTCTAGTAATCACGAATGTTGTATCAGAGAATTTACTCCGTTTTCATACACTTGTATACTACAAGCAGAGTAGGAAATCAGCAGAGTAAACTACCGTGCAACCTGTGAGTAATTGCTCTTGCCGTCGTGATAATGAGATGCGTTCAGAACTATATACAACGTAAGTCATTGTTCTATGTGTAAATATATATATAAACTCCGATGTTGTGTAATTTCTATCGTATATTATTTCGCCGTAAATAATTTCAAGAACTTCGATGTTATGTAATTTCTATCGTATATTATTTCGCCGTTATTAATTTCAAGAACTCCGATGTTATGTAATTTCTATCGTATATTATTTCGCCGTTAGTATTTGTCAAGAACTCCGATGTTATGTAATTTCTATCGTATATTATTTCGCCCATTAAGACACATACATTGAAAAAACATGTTACTAGTTTTTGAATGTACTACAGTAGTCTTCTATTGTCTGTCGTCGACCCCCGCCACCACGCACTCCATCAGCACCCCGATGGCGGACTTCTTGTCGGGTTTCAGTCAGTTTCACTTTTGATCGTGATTAATTCGATATAAATGCAGTTCTTTACCAGAAATCGCCAGTCCATTTTCTTTGAGTTTAAAAATGACCTACAGTAGGGTCGGCATGGTTAGTCAGTCGCCGGTACGTTCGCCTCCCACTCATAGGCGGTTGTACCGGTTGCCGCTGATTAATTAAGCAGACCCTTATTTTGGGTAATTTTTTATTATCCAAGAAACGTCCCTAGCAACAAAGGGACAAAGCGAACCACACAAATGCTTAGAAATATGATCGTGTGCGAGTTGGTTTGGTGCGAGTTGGTATGGTGCGAGTTGGTATGGTGCGAGTTGGTTTTGGTGCGAGTTGGATCGAAATCTCAACCATAGACCCTCAACATTAAGGTAGCGAGACTATTATTTGTGTTGAAAATTACGATTTTCACATTTATTTATTAATTGATGAAATGCACTATAAACTTTCATGTGATAAAGTCAACATAAAATAGAATGTCATGTAAGTTGGTTAAAATGTAGATTTTCTGAAGGGAAGCAAGGTAGCCTCAGTAGTGTTTTCCAAAATCAATAACACAGGTTTAATCTGTGTGCCTATAAGTTTCAAAGATAAACTCAAGACAAAGCAATGTTAGGATGTGTTATCAGTAGCTATCTGACACACAATGAGTGTTTCCAAACATTTTAGTGGTTTGTCTCTGCCCCTGTTTGTTTCACAGATTAGTCATTTGCATATGAATGTGTCAGACACAAGGTCACACAGCCACTGACAAAAAATCATTGATTTTGGTGTTTTCATATGCCGAATTTATCCAATTATAGCAAAGACATTAGAAAGAGATTGTCTTTGATTATAGCTATCCCATTCCTTTATTTTTTTGGTTTCCAATAGCCTTACACATTTGGATGTCCCTACACATGTTAAAGCAGACTTTGATGGGAAAACAAATTGATTGTGCCGATAAACAAGCTTGAAAATCTTTGCTGTTACTTCATGGACGTTTTCTAGGAGTTTATGTTTTTCAAAATACAAGGTCTTTAACAAAAAATAACGTATACTTATTGTCATCGGATTAACACCAAATTTTCACAGCTTTAAGGTGACAGTGAGAGGAACTTGAATGTG